CCCTTTATCAACTTTTACCTTTTCCTCTTCAATGTTGTAGACATTTGTAGAGTTATTGAATACAATTCTATCAACAAAGCAATGCTTTAAAGCTGCCGTTCGCTAGCCCTGGAATGCACAAAAGGTATTTTGTACTAAACAGTAAACTGTATCTAATATTTACACAGGTGAGACAGGAAGGCTACGTCATGTCATTCAATTTTTATAGGCCAACTTCTTTTACATGGCAGCCAATTTGCCAACAATGGTTTGGTAAAAAGCTTCACACTGTATTAGCTCATGTACTTGGAAGAATCAAAGCATCCTCCACATTTAGTTTCCCACTATCCAGATACAAGTCACCACATGCATAAAACCCTAGCTCTATGATAAAGGCAGCCATCATATAATTGCAGTGCAGGCTGACGTTGTAGCGCATCTCGAAGGGCATAGTCTGTAAGAGGTGCTTCCCTTTGTTATCGGAGAATGGCTACAGGGCTCATTCACACTTTGTGTTTTCGTCATAGCATGTGTGCTAGTGTGCATCAGGATTGTGGGCTGTAGAAGGTGTAAAACTGTGGCTTTAAAAATGGCGCAAAAAAACCTGCAAGCATGAATCAATACATGGAAACGTTTTAAAGTAACACTACATGTCTTGATTCTGCCCTGACTTCACAGCCCAATGTGATGCCGGGGTGAGGATGGTGCCGTGTATGGCTACGCTAAGCGGCTATAACAAGTGCTACAAACTATACGGTACATATAGATTTTTATCAATGTCGGGTGTGATGGGCACCAGACCTTACTGTTCCATGTTCAGGAAAGGATCCGAAGTAATTAAGTATGTGCCGCTTTCATCCCCTGGCCAAGACAAACGTTGCATTGAAGTGGAAGTTGGGAGGTTTGTAGACAAACAGTAGTGTCACCTCTCAATATTGTCAGTGAGACAACTTTCTGTCTATAGCCAGCCAAACAGTGTGCTAGGGAAAAGATACATGGACTGTTCTTATAGTCAATTATAACAGGGTTATTCACAAAAGGATGAAGAGTTTGGAGAAGGCAGGAGAAGTGAACAATCTAGGACCACATAGCCGATTTGGGAAAATTCTCCAATTCAGATCATTTTCCAGTTCAGCTATGTTGTCCTAGATTGTTCACCTCTCCTGCATTCTCCAAACTCTTCACCCTTTTGTGAATAACCCTCTAAATCCCAAACAGGCACAAGGTTCTACTATGTTCTGCTCTAGGTAAGCACTCAGGATACCGAGTGATTACAAATGAGCAATGTAACTCAGCACATATTAACAATGATGCAATAATTGCTGATTGTGCGATTCAAGCACTGGCGTCATTTAGCTTGTATAATTTGGACACTTGGTAAATATCGGATGCTTTACCATAAAATCAATGTCATTAAGGTACATTAAGTCCACTGGTATGAAAAAACTAATTTGCAGCTTAATGTTTCCAGGGTTGGAAAATAAGTGCACACATTGAAGGCTCTGAAATCTGTTTGGATGACAACTACATGCAACAGAATAATGCAAAATGA